GGGGTCTTCGGGGGGTCTTAGGTCTTCGTTTTCGAGGGTCTTCGTTTTCGTAACACCCATTGAAAATATCACATATCGGCACACAAATAAGATCAGCACATTCCCTGATAAACCTAGCTATATAGCAGATATTTTGTCAAGGCCCGTTGCCTTTGACTTGTCTAGTTTATTTAAAAGTGAAAATACTTTAGTTGGATTAATGGGTTGGAGCTTAAACCGTTTATCTGTTGCGGTAAGATATCGTTGATAGCTACCACTATCACAATTTATCTCACTGGCAAGTTTTGGACCAATATTAGCAAAGTGGTTATTGAATTCGTTTGATAGCTCCAACGGATTAGTTACCGTTAATCCGTTCCCTTTTAGTGATGCCACTGGCGTTTTCCCAGATTTTCGAGAAGTTAGCTCGTTTATAGTCTGCCAGGTCTTTCGGTAGTCGCTGGTGTGCTTATTAAAATTATTTTGGTAATAAACTTGCTTAGCTGAGCGTATTCGCTTATTGACTATATTTCTTTGTTTCTTAAATAATCCCCAATCGTTAGGATCATTTGTCTTGCTAGCTTTGATTTTTAATATGTCTCTATTATGCATAAGGTCTTTCAATTCAGAGGTAATCCACGGAGAACTCCGTGAACGAACGCGCATGGGGCATGCTTGTCCGCAATAGCCAGAAATGTACACTTCCACTACTGCCACATCACGTTTGGGTTGGAAGACTCGTATACATTATCCAAACATTGAGATAGAATATCATAACGAAACTTTTGGCGATGGAAATTTCGGAAATTTCTATATGTAATAGAATTATGTCCATTAGACATCCTATTCAGGGCAAGTTTTGTATATACATACACCATGCTATGATCACTTATTCCGATATGACAAACTCCCGAACATGCAATCTTATCTGAGCAGTTGGTAGAGATGATCAATTAGAGTTGATGAGGTGGGTGTTATCCTCGTTGGTTCAGAGATGAGCTGCTCGAGTCCGTATACATCAGCAATACTCCTTAATTTGGATGTGTTATTGTCATATTGAGTAGTGATCATGTCACAGTTCATGTCTCCCAGAAAAAAAAATTCTACATGTTCACTATCCAATTTCCCAATTAGGGATTCAAAAGGTGAAAAAATGCCAGCAGGAGAGTCGGGTGGTCTGTACTAAGTAACACTCACAAAAGATTTTGAATTTGGCTTATGGATTTCCAAGCAAAGATTTTCTAATGCATCCATATACAGGTCATTTCGTACTGTAAAGTTGATTGAAGTTTTTACATAGAAGCATACCCCTCCGCCGCATTTTGTAAGTCTATCGCGGCGAACTATTTCATATCCCGGAATATAAACTTCATGATCTCGAATACTCTCGTTCAGTTTCGTTTCATTTGTGGAAACAATATCGATATATTTGTTTGCTAATAGGATTCTTAATTCGTCTATATGAGTAGTTAATTGATTAATATTGAGTGATGCCATTCTAAAACCACGCAAAGGAGGCAATATTGAGACAGATTTTTCGGCCCTTTGGTTGCTTAATCGATACCGCACGGCGTTGACGGACAGCACATTATCTCATTCTAAGTGCGATTTAGAATTATTATAAAACTGCTCATTATCTTTAAAATTTAAGTGCAGTCCACCTTTGTTGAGTCCACTATGAGATATGTTCTCATGATGGATTAATTTCCATCCATTTTGTTGGCAGAACTTCTTTAGATGCTTGTTGGCTGTTTTCACTGCCTGGTCCAGCTTATCTTTTCTGCATACAAGCTCCGACAGCGTAACTGTAGTATTGCAGGTGCCCTCGATCTGTCTCGCGAGATCCACAATCGATTCCGCAACAGCCTTTGGTTCCCTGGTTTTAAGATCATTAGTCCCAATGTGTAAAATCACTTCATTGGGCGAAGATTCCAGATTTGGCTTGAGATAGTGATTCATGGCCATTGTCGTAGCGCCCGAGAAAGGCTTGACTATAACCCTGTGGCCAACTGCTTTTCCCAGATCTTTTCCAGGTATTCTTGAGATCATCGAATCTCCTATGAGCAGGGTTGTGCGCTCTTTTGGTTGTTTTTCGGGTTCGGATTCTTTTCCTGTCAGGGTGTTATTAGGACCTCCTTTACCTTTCGATTTCTTTCTTTTGTTCTTTGATTTCACAATGAAGCCTTGTTCTTTGTTGGCGCAAGGTGTTGACTCATCCATATTTTGGACAATGGTATGTTCGTTAGAGGTGTTACTCATTGAACGGCATTGAGTAGCTGCTTCTCTGGATACGATTTGCAATGCAAAACTTAAATAATCGCGTTCTTGGACTAACTTTTTATTTTCTTCCTTCAAAGATAGAATTATCTCCCTAAGTCGAGAATTTTCGGATCTCAGGTCTTCCTCATTAGGTTTCTCTTTTATATGAGCCCATAAGTTCAGCACTTCAGATTTCAGACAGTCCAACTCCTCTTGTACTGATTTGGCATTCTTGTTAAACGCCGGAGTAGAAGCTTCTTCATTCACGAGAATAACTGAGTCGTCATCAGCCGGTATCTGGAGTAGCTTCTTCAGTTTGGCTTTCATTGCTTTTGTATCCGGACCTTGGACTTGAAGGGTACCGGTACTGTTAAATAAAACCAGCGTGATTGTCTTCGACTTCAAAGAACTAGACCTTTCAGAGGGACTCGCGGTTGCAGAAACTTCCAAATTTAGGACTTTCGAACAAAATTCCTGAAGTTGTGTTAGGCTCCCTTTCCACTTGAATAGACTTTGTTTGTCGTCCCAATGTAGATATTGGTTTAAGGGAGATGAAGAAGGTTCAGTGGCAACAAATTCGGCGGAATTCGTGGAGCCTTCAGATACACGTCCGCACGCCATCATGCNTGTGTACACTAACAGAAAGATCGGATATGAGTTAAAACCAACGGAAAAGAAGCCCAACATCATCAATCAGCAGCGCGTTGTGTATTATTTTAAGTGTGGTCTGTGCGATGCAGACTATGTCGGCTACACATGCCGGCACCTCTACCAACATGCTGAAGAACACAAAGCGTCTCAGTCTTCAATCGGGAACAACATTAAAGAGCGGCATGGGGCATACCCAGAGGGACTTGCATCAGTTTCAAAATCCTAAGAAACGCAAAAGTAAACTGGACTGCCTAATTTACGAGATGCTTTTTATAAAAGAAATTAAGCCAAGCTTAAACAAACATTCAGACTCAATCTGCGCAAAGCTATTTTTATACTTTACGGTATCTTCGTATAATTTATAGCTTTACTTTCGTCAACTCTCATATTAATTTATTCGTATTGTCTCCTTTGCAATTTTATCACCTCTATTTTACGCCCAGCGTTTACATATTTCCATATCTTATCGCCTTCATCATTCCTACGTCTTGAATTTAGTACATATATATAAAAATTTTTCCTTCTCATCAGCTTGAAAATGACCTCAGTGAGGTCGAAACGTCGTTCAAAATTATTATCACTAATTATTATCTTGAAAAGCTTTTCTAAAAAACTACTTATCAAAACTGTTAAAAAGAATCGTATTTAGCAATACTTGAGTAGTAGAATAAGAAAAATTAAAGGCAATAGAAAATAAGGTAATTTTAAGCGTGGGGGAGTCGGTCCGTGGGCGACTTGACTGTAATTCCTCGCAGGAAGTTCCCCAGCATAGACATAGTTGGACGGCCTAAGCTTCCCTACTGGAACTCAGTTGTAGAGCGTCCGTAGTACTTAACGGACGGTCGTAAGTTCCACTCCCTCTGGGAGGATTTGCTGCATTTTTTTTTTTTTTTTTTTCTCAAAGCATGGTTGTGTTTTTTTCAGAATAAAATTGGGTAATTTTCTCTCTCATTTTCCTTCTGTTGCGACAATTTTGAGGTTAGCACTATTGAAGTCAAGTTTCAAGATGATTGACATGGTCAAATTTAACCAGGAAAAATTGGGAATACAATATTCGTCCGCGCCAAGTCTCGGAAATAGGTCTGCTTTAATGATCACACCTGGTAGATAGGGACATACCGCACTACTGATCCGTTTCCTTTGCGTCTGCGAATATATCTGAACTGTACGCTGCGGAGCCAGGCGAATAAGGATTTATTGTTATTGTTAAATAAACAAGAAAGCATATTGTAATTCGAGGACCAGACTAGCCAAACGCAGAATTGAGGAATGCAAGTCGACTGATCAAATTTCTTGGGCTGGCATTCTTTTTTTTTTTTCAATTGATTGGCTGTTTTCCAACTGCACTTGGCACTGTGCAGTTGAAATACATAATAAAGTTCTGCTTGTTTGCAAGGAATTTACAGGTGATAGGCAAAGTTCAAGGTAGCTCGAGCGAAATTGATGACACATGAAAAGGGCAAATGTGTAGAAAGTGGCCTTGAAGTGTCGTTATCGTCGATGTAAACTTCGCAGCCTGGGTTGGGATGATGATTGCTTTGAACCTCTGCAGAGTAAGGGTACGAGAAGCAAACCCTACAGCAACGTACCACTTTCAACAACTGAGACGTTACTTTAATATTTTTGTTTGTTTTCAAAAGCAACTTAACAATAACTCAAAACTAAATCCTTCACAGTTTAGGATTTGTTTAGATTTGGAAGATAACACAGACATTATCCACAGGGGCGAGCCTCTACTTTCAGGCACTTGTGGAGGACGTTTGAAACAGCCCTCTAAATTACAAACAAAATTATATCATTGATTACAGAAGCTCCTCAGAGCTTTCCCAAAAAATATGTTTCTTTAGTAATGCTTGAGGTAATTAAGTCCCTTTCAAACCATCTGGCTGTAAAAGTTAACTTTTTCGCTTTCTTTTCCATTCAGGTCTCTTTATATTTCTTAACTCTGCATTCATGCTGTGGATGGTTCATCCAGAATACTTTGCGTTGTACGATCCTTTGTGACATTCTCAATCTTTGCGTTATGTCTTTCTAAATGACTTGAGGATAGGATAGATGTTTTCGAAGGCTTCATAGATTTCTGAGCGCACTTTGGCACCTAAAGGGCAAACACACATGTCGAAGGGTCAATTCTCATGGTAATTATCTCCACTCCAGACTACAAATGGGTACCAGCTTACAGTCTTGAGAAGATGCTTATGCAACTGGTGATGGAAAGCATCACATCCAATGGAGAGGGAAGAGGGGTCGTGGTGAGAGGGCAGAAATACACCTGCTTCATGCTGCATAATTAAAATTCACTTTAAGTCACGATGATAAAATGAGCCAGTCATTGTGTCAGTATGGTTTTGGGAAGGTGATAGCCATCAGTAGGAAGTTGTAGCTCACACAGTGAATTGCAAAGTAACAATAAGCTACTTTTGAACCTCTGTTGTAAGTAACAATTTGTAAAGGCATCATTTTGAGACAGGTTAATACACCACCATTCCGAATTGTATCAGATTCCTATATGGGAAAGAAGGATCATCTAAAGAGTACCTTGTCCCCAATGAGTGGCTTTATAGCTCAGTTGGTAGTAGCACCCAACTAGGATATGAACTTTTTTTCAAGCTTCTTTTCTGCAAATGCTTAAATTGTAGCTCATCTTTAAGGATCATGGCTTTATTTTGAAACCTTTGTCTTGTCTTAAAATAAAATACACCCTTTCATTACACAACAGTAACAAGTTAACATTAATATACAACATTGAGATGATTTCCTACCTGTCAAAACAACCTTTCCTGACACAAAAATTAATAACACTATTCTTGGCTTAACCATTCGATAAATGAGACCAGGGAAAAGCTCTGGTTCATAACTGCAAAATTAATCAATTCAAAAAGTAATAATTTATTTCATAACTGTTATCTTACCCTCTTAGATAAAATAAGATGACAACTTATTGAGAGAAAAACAGCACTTTGATGAACACAAGGGTGAACAAAATGCAATGAATAATGCCTTGTTTGCCTTTACAATCACATTATTAACCCACTGTCAGAAGTTGTTTTTAATCCAGAGAAAATTAACTTCATTTCCAAAAAGACACATGAAAATTAGCTTACAATCTCCACCCTCCAAGTGCCCTTGAATTTGGTTATTTCATCACGATTCGTTTGTGTGTGTGCGTGCGTGTGTTTGTGTGTGTGGAGAATGGCATTCACAATCTTCACAAGCAGTGCTTTCCATCCTCATGCAATTCAAAAATGAAATCTAACTATCCTATAACCATTACAGTTTAACACAGGCCTATATAACATTGACAGCACACATGAAAAAGGTAGATTAACCATAAATTCAAATATGGGTAAGTTTTAGATTCTAGAATTAAATAGATCTTTCCTGTACATCTGCACTGTAATATACAGTAGCACACATAAAAAAAGGAGATATTCATCGGCAATCCATTTCGCAAACAATTTTCTGAATTTATTACCTGGAAAACTGTCCATGGGCTAACACCAAACCTTCAAGTCGAATTGGGAATCTCACATCACAGCTACCAACCATGTTCTGAATTTTGAACTCTGTAAACTTTGCCTGAACAAATGACAAATTAAAAATTTGGGTCATATCTATGCTTGCTTACATACAGGAGGGATTTTGAAACTTGCACCTAACCACCCTATACAAACAAGCAATTTTGCAAGCAATCTGGTCAACAGTTATGGTACTGAATAGCAAAAAAAAATTGTGGGTTTATCCAAGGAGTCAGCTGAAAAGCAAAGCAATAAAAAACTAACGAATACATTTCTTGAGACTTCTTTACCTTAACAGTAGAGAAAGCCTACCTCATGTTTTTGGCATTTTCATTGCATTAAAAGCCAATTACAAACAGAAGGAGATAGCAACATGTATTCACAAACCATAAAATCCTTAACCCTAACCCTAATCACTTGTGGTCCTCAAACACTCGTTATCTCACTTTCTCACTTCTCCCTGACAAAATACACAATCCAGACTAAAATGGCTCTGATGCACCATGTATTCTGAGTTTCAGGTAATTTATTCACTGTAATATGTTATGGATAAATTACTTGCTATAAGTACATCATCACATTTTGGAGTTACAACATCTCATTATTTAGAAAGTTTTCAAAGGAAATACTTGTGCTGAGGTGGTCACAATACTACACGTATTAGCATTAATTTTTTCAAAGGGCTTTGCAGCAATCTCTTTTCCTAAAGGGTGAAACTGACTCAATGAAAGAAAATGAAACAATATGAATGAATATCCTTAAATAATAATGGTGTTAACTGCAAGCATTTACTCACTGGAAACCCAAGCTTCTGTACCACTCTGGCATATTTTCTTGCAGCTAGTCTTGATTGGTCTTCACTAGGAAAAACAAAAAATAACTCTTCAGAAGCCTTCAAAAATGCAATCATTTTAAGAATTATATGAAAAAGTCAGTTTAAGTTTACCTACAACTTTTACTTAGTTTAAACCCAACCTAAACTTAACCTATGCTTGCACCTGATCTTTTCATTTACTGATTGATCTAGGCCGTGCTCAAGGAAAAACTGAGGGAGCCCAATGCTCTGAAATCCAGGGTGCCCAGCATATGATTTTTATGAAAAAAAGTAAGATTTCCTAGTAGCCTAAGTGCAAAAATAAGGCACCAGGGGTCACCAAGCACTACTAGATCACAGCCCTGAAGTGGTAACTCTCATTTAGATAAAAATGTGCGATTTCAAAGTAGAGGCAAGTCTGCTTTAGACTTGAATAAGTCACCTGATTCAGTTTATAAACTGAATTTATGAAAATTAAGTTTTGTAAGTTACACATACCTCTTTGCTCCAGTGCAAACCATTTTACCAGAGCTGAATATCAATGCAGTTGTCCTTGGCTCTCGTATTCTCATGATAACAGCTGCAAATCGCTAAAATTGACATAAAAATATTTCAATTTGCCAACTTGCCTTCTGTATAACTGTAAAACCTGTTAAGCTATGAAAGTGCAGCAAATGCCGGTATAACTTACCTTTGGATTGTATTCTGCATTCCTTGCATGAAGAGCAATCTTCTTCAAGTCTAACTTACAGCCAAGATTTACAGTTGACACAATATTTCTGTTAAGACCAAATATTGACAGCTTGAGATTAACTATATCAACTATTAAAAGATTTATCATAAAAATTTTAAGTCAGAATTAAAGAAAATGCAACTACTAGAAGCACCAGGTCCACATTCTAAGTACCACCACAGATCCTCTTCCATCAGTATATCCGCAATTTGGAAGGAATGGGTGCAGCTGGCAGTGCACCCGACTTTTTTATGAGAATTAGTTATTCTACCAGTCAACTCAAATCTTTCATTCAAATTGACCTACAGTACTTTCAAAGTAAGGGAGGCTCATAAGTTTTTTTTGCAATTACAAGCAAATGTCCAATATCAAATGATTACAAGATTATCAATCTCATCATCATGGAAATGTTTCTAAAACTGTACAAGACTATTGTAAGAAATATTTTGGAGGGTGGTTCTGAGACCCCATCAGTTGCCATGGCAACAGTACTAATATTCTCATCAACATAATCAGGGTTCTCAATTGAACTAGTAACCTGTAACACTTGTCACGGCTGTCAAAGCACTTTGACCAGAAGATCCAAGAACAACTTTATTGAGGAGGTAACTGAATTTAGTATTGACTGTTAGTGGCTTTTAGTTTTTGAAATGAATAGCCTGTCAGCAGACCACAGAATGACTGAATAATCAAAATGTTCACAACATCTCCAAAACATTGAATTATGGCTGCCATATTGAACTTGTAAATTTTAGCCCAGGCCTCTTGCAGATGTCATCTACCAACATGCTAAAACATGGCTGTTAATGAGCCCAAGATATGTGACCTTTGGCCCTGTATTTAAGTGTTACTCATGAAAGTACTGTAGCACAGTAATGGCTGTAGAAAATTCTACTAAGAACTATTAAGAGCAAATGTTGCCACTGGTCAAACATTTGGTGGCAACAGCCAAAAAATAGGTCCACAATGCATATATGTGTGGCTTACAAAATTGAGCAGCTTTCTAGTGTCTAATGTCTAAAAAATTCAAGCTTTTGTTTATTTCAGTCAGCTACTATGTGTATCAATCAGCACAACCTACTTCATGTAAATCTGATTGGTTTCTAGTGTGATCTATTGTTGCTGAGCCTACCAGTGGTTTTTACATTTGTACTTCAGTAGTTACTTTTGCACTAGTGATACATGAAAAAGACACCTAGCTGTTTTCAGCCAATCAAGAGTGTAATTTTTCGTGTATATCAGTATTGTGACGAGTTAACCAAAACCAAACAAGTAAAGGAGTTGTAGTCTACAAAATAAAGGCCTAATACACATGTATTGTTTCCAAGTTTAAACATCAATGCTCATCTGAACCATTACGAAGAGAATTTAGAAGACTGCCAAGCTTACAGGAAGTCAAGAAATGTTAAGGTCTGAACAATTCTGGACATTACTTGGAAAACAATAATAGTAATCACATTTCAGTTGTAACATTAAACTACTAGGCTACTATAAGCAATGGAATATAAGCATTGTAGAAAATCATTTAGTGAAAACCAAAACATCACATCATTCCACATTTTGGGTTATCCAAAAAGTTGTTTCAATACTGGCATGTAAAATACATTTAAATAGAACATCGTAAGGATTAAACTTCAACAAAGATCCTTACAACACGATGAGTTAAAACTCAGGAGAAGGACTCAAATTTCTCAACACATTTACTGACTTCACTGCAGTGCACACCGAGCGACCCCACTGGCACCATGTTTAAAGGCAAGATCTGTTGTAAGCTACTGAATGCTATGTTAACTGCTTCCTGTTTTATCATACTGGCTGGCAATGTCAGCAAAAACCTGGGCCCAATATCAAACCCTTGCAGTATCTGTTCGAAGGGTTGCAGAAGAAACCAGAAGGCCATACAGTGCGATAATTGTGATTCCTGGTTTCACGCAAAATGTACAGGAATGCCGAACAGTGAATACGCCGACCTCAGCGCTAGGCCGGAGACTACCTGGTGGTGCATGGCGTGTTTGTTCCCTACCAACTATCGGGGCAGGGGTTAACAATAACTAGTGATGTACAGTTGGATATGAACATTGATGTTTGCGATGTTGAGCAGTTATCTGATGAAAATTCGGGGCTGGATAACGATGAACTAGTGCATCTATGCAGACAGAATGGGAAAGAGCTCCTAATCGCTCACTTAAATATTAACATCATTCAGAACAAATTTGAAGAACTCACGAATATTGTCAGGGCAATATGTGCTCACAGCATGTTTGTAAGTGAAACTAAAATTGAATCTAGCAATCCTAATGCTCAATTCTCGATATCTAGTTATTCTCTGTATTGCAACGATAAGAAGAAAGGTGCTGGCGGAATTTTGGCTTTAATATCCAAGGCACTCTCGAAGACCCAGCTCAAACTCAACAAAGATTATAAGACTCTGGAGGTTATTGCCCTCGATGTAAAAACCAAAACTGGCAATATGGTGATTATTGGTGTCTATTGTCCCCCGAGAGCTGTATGTGATGAATATCAATTACTACTTGAAAAGGAACTTAGTGAAATATGCAACTGGGCGAGTCTAAAAAGTGATCATGTTGTCATAATAGGTGACTTGAACCTGGACCGAATGCATCCTGACAAATCTGAAGGCAAACTCCTTCTGGATCTAGAAGTTGAACAGGGTTTTGACTGCTTAATCACGGAGCCAACAAGAACAGAAAAGCGAGGTAAAATCATAACAAAGTCTTATTGATGTGTTACTCAGCAACAGACCTTAATTATTTCAATACTCCTGTAACTATCATCCTTGTTTGAGTGACCATGCGCTTATTCATGGGGCTCTTAAGCAGAAAGTTAATCTGAACAAACCCACGATAGTTAATTTTAGAAGTTTCAAAAACTTTGATCCAGAATTATTCAAGCGTCACCTTGACATGGTTCCTTGGCACATTATCATTGTATTCAACAAAGTTGACAATCAAGTACATGCCTGGAATCTAATTATGAATGATGTATTGAATGATCTAGCACCTGTAAAGAAAATGAGAGTATGTGATAAAGATGTGCCATTACATGACACCTAAATGGAAGAGTGCAATTTGAGCCAAACGAAAGGCTAACGCAAAGTACTTGAAAAATAAAACTCCAGAAACCTGGGAGCTAAGGTGCAAGACAAAAAACGAGGCAATGAAACAAAGGCAGATTGCAATAAAGATCTACTGGAAAATCAAAGCTGCTGACCTCAAGAATGACCCAAGAGACTTTTTCAAAACATTTAAGCTGTTCCTGAGTAAAAAGGACTGCTCAACGAGCACAGACATCCAGCTGAAAGTAGAGGGGACCACAGTTAAAGATCAAAGGCAGGTGTCTGAAATACTTGTTGATTATTTCTCCACCATAGCTGATGGGATCGGTGGTGACATCGCTAAGCTTAAATCACTGAAAGATTTTAAGGACCATCCAAGTGTTCTTAGAATACAACAGCAAAGTGTAAACTGGTCATGCCATCTTTAAGTAAAACCTATCACGCAAGGACAAGTTCTTGCTGCTTTAGAATCACTGAACAGTCTAACAAGGCCATTGGCTGTGACAATATTCTGGCCAAAGTTTGGAAAATTGCAGCTGATGAATTGGCCAAACAGCTTACTACCAGGCTTAGACACTTGGCTACCTGCATTACTAGCCACCAGGCTAGTGATTTCTAAAATTTACCAGCCTGAAACACAACTTGTTAGCCTGGATCAATTTCCCTTGAGGTCTACTTCAATCCTAAATATGCAAACCTTCCTCTAAACTTATTGGCAAAGTCTTTCAAAATGATAAAGAATCGCATTTTTTCTTTTGTTGTGATAACATAATGTGCTATTTAAGGAAAAAACTAGTTGAATTTCATATGTGAGGCGATCATGTGAGGCGATGTGCAAAGCATTGCAACATTGGTAGGGAGAAGACTGAGGAAGACATTGATCATTAAGTACAGAGCCTGGGATCTAGTGATGTTTACGATCGACATGCGAAACAAAAAAAGCGCCAGGGCCCAATTGTTTGAAGACCGATTAGCGCTAACCCAAAGTTAAATTTTAATCCAGGTTTCTATATTCTTCGTTTAAAAGCTGTTTTTGGGATAATTTTCCACTTCTTTTTAGCTCATTCAATCATCAAATTGTAAACAAGTGGAAATAAACTGAATTTCCTTTTAAAGGTTTTAGATCTGAAATCTAATTTCACACTAACCCTGGGTTATCTTAACCCACTTTTGAACAACTCGACCCAGAAGATGAAAGATTTACGCCTTCTCTATTGTTATTATCATTACAACTTAACCTTTCTTGACTTTTTTTTAATCAACTGTGAGCTTTAAGTAAAGTAACTATAAATAATTTCTTTCAAATTTTTCTACTAGCCAGCAGGCTATTAAACATGGTTTTTTACTCGTCCGGCCAAATTTTTACTAGCCCTGGGCTACTGGGCTAGCAGAGATGTCGAACCCTGATCATGAGATATCCTTTGTTTTTACGAAATTGTCCTTAATGCAATCTTTGACCAGTACTGTACAATTGAGATTCCTATACTTACTTTTGTTGTTTTGAAATATGCCTCTGTGAATTCTTAACAGTGCAAGGAGAAAGCAACTACAATACAACTTATTTCACTTTATGGCACTACCAGGAGGCTTCAGACAGTTTCTAACACTTTCAAACTCTTTCAGAGTGGTGCAACCCACACCGATAGATCAAACCGATAGTTGTTGGCTTGCAAGAGAGCAATGACTCCTTTCAGTGTAGAAGATTCAAGCTGATAAATGTTGTCTTTCAAGAGCATAAAAGCTCTTGTACAAGCTTCACTTAAAACACAAGCCAGATCTGGGTGCATTGGCTTGTGAGAGAATTAACTCGTGATATGATCACCTGAAAAAAAATTACTCGAGTCTGCACTTACAACCAAGATAGCTGACTCAGACTAGTATGCCTCACGATACTAGGCCATGTGACATGCGTTCGACTCTCGTGGACAAATAAAGAAATAAATAAATCTGATCATGCCATAATGTGGCTACACAGTTTGTGTAAGCCACACAAAAATTGATTGGGCTCATATTCTCAAGTTAAGTAGGCCTTATAGTGAAACAAAGCACTGCATATTACATTTGGCTGAATATCGATCATTTTCGAGGAAATCAATAATATCTGAATTTTGCCAAAATGCTGCTTTTGAAGCTCACAATTTCAGATGAATCGCGGAGCCTTGAGCCATAAATTGAAAACACTTTGACCAATAAAAAGTACGAAATCTTGAAAAACAACATCAATACTTATGTTGATGGAACTTTGAGCAATTCTCGATTGTTTATTTACACAATCTAATTGAATTTATCCAACCTTCTACTAACAAGATTAAAAATACCCAGTGGGTCAAAAGTAACCCATCATTTAATGATGTGCTAAATGAAATAATCGACAGAAAATCTAGCTTTTGGAAGGTGAAGTGTAGTTCTCGATCTCCAAAACATTTTTGGGGGAAATGATTCCGTATGATTTAATCAAACCCTGGTGAAAATCCTGTCCAGGATCCTGTAGGATCCTATAGGATCTTGAGTAGGAACAGGATCCTAACTAAGATCCTGTATAGGATTTGAATCCTGATTGGATCCTAGAGGGATAAATCCAGAATAGGATCCTAAGTAGGATCTTAAAGATCAATAGGATCCTATGTAGGATCAATATCCTGATCAGGATCCTGGGCAAGAATAATATCCTAGATATATAGAGGATCCTATGTAGGATCATTATCCTGATCAGGATCCTGGGCAAGAATAGGATCCTGGATTATATATAGGATCCTATGTGGGATCACTATATCCTGATCAGGATCCTGGGGAAGAATAGGATCCTGGACATCTATAGGATCCTATGTAGGATCACTATCCTGATCAGGATCCTGGGGAAGAATAGGATACTGGACATCTATAGGATCCTATGTAGGATCACTATCCTGATCAGGATCCTGGGCAAGAATAGGATACTGGACATCTATAGGATCCTATGTAGGATCATTATCCTGATCAAGATCCTGGGCAACAATAGGATCCTATGTAGGATCACTATCCTGATCAGGATCCTGGGCAAGAATAGGATCCTATGTAGGATCACCACTTCCTGATCAGGATCCTGGTCAAGAATAGGATCTTGGATATACATAGGATCCTACGTAGGATCACTATCCTGGTCAAGAATAGGATCTTGGATAATTATATACAAGTAGGATCCCATGTAGGAAGACTATCCTGATCAGGGGGTGGGCTCTGTCAGTCTCGGGTGACTATGCACTCTGGGTGGTGATTCTGATGCAGTGTTGCGATTGGGTGTGATTGACAAGTATTGTACAGTTATAAATCTGCATACACAGCAAAACTTTTAGACTTTGCACTTAACAACGACATGAACCATTGTCTTTAAAACTGTTGACAGTGCTTTTCTTTTTAAAACCATCCCAAAGAGGTAATGTTTACCTAACAAGTAATGCAAGGTGAGCACTTCGCTTTGATTGTCAGTTGATTTAAAACTCAAAGAATCTTTTTATATAAATAAGATCAAACCTGAACTTAACAATTACAGCATTATAACACTTTCCCAGCATTTTAGTTTACACCTTTGATGTTTGATGTCACGTTGTAATTAGTACCCGCTTTTGTATTACATATTGTAAATAATTTATTCATCTACTGTATGCTATATAATTGTTCATACTCAGTTACTCATTGACTGAAGATGGCATATGCATGCCGAAACATGTCTTTCAAAAAAGTTGTATATTTCTTACAAATGTCTACCATACTTGCTATCACTGCGACCTTATGGTTTTACCTTCACCTTTTTTAAATTCGGTTAAGTCTTTAAGATTATAACCTTGAAGAAGATCAATTATTAATCCTGGACATTAAAAACTAAAGTCATAGCAGATAAATTGTTAAATAAAGTTTTTGTTTTTTTTTATTAACCTTAATTGTAATTCATATTATTTGCTGTGTATTCTAGTGGAGTGGATTTGTTATAAATAAAGCTCCTACTTTTAATTATATTTGGCATTTTTTCGTGAATATTACACCACGTTTTTATCATACACTACAAATGCACATGCGCAAAGTTTAATCAACACTACTGAGCATGTCTTGTGTAAGCACTAAAACTTTCCCACGTGGATTGCATTTACACTACCGTTTCATACATAAATTCGACTGACTCTGTACTCCAATAAGATCTAAATGCACAGTGATTAAACAACCAAAAAGTAAATTAATTTATAAATAAACTGTAAATGAATCAACTCTAACTTTAAAACATGTGATTAAAAGAACCCTCACTGAAATCTTAAAAATGTAACCCTGAATGAAGACCAAATTAATCCTAATTACCATGAAGCTGCCTCAAACATCTGCATGATAAAAATTCAATTTTATTTTACCCTAACCTTTGACTCCGTCTTGAATTTTAATTAATACTCAGACTCAGCCCTTTGTTTATTGCTTATAGGATCTTTAGGATGTTGTACAAGAACCCATAGGATCCTACAGGATCTTGTGCAAGATCCTACAAGATCCTATAGGATACCATAGGATCTTGTACAAGATGCTGTAGGATCCTAGTAGGGATCCTATCAAGATCTTGGACAGGATCCTGAATAGGATTTTCACCAGGGAATTTTAAAGTTGGATAAATGAGCTGATTTGACAGTGCAATCACTTAGTCAAAAATGTTATTTTGCTATTTAGGTAGCAATGCAACAATTTAAGGACTGCAATCCCCTTTTGTGATACAGCAATATGGATGGTAAGATGATATTATGTTAAATAAGCTGTAGAATGGATTGTAAATGCAAAAAATTGAGTTTGCGACTGAACAACAAAGAAACCATGCAAACCATGGAGAACAAAAGCTTAAGCCAACTATTGACAACAAGTGTATCTCTTTCTCGCTGTTTCATCGGGAAAACAGTTAACAAGAACAAGCCTGAATAGTACAGGGACTTCAATCTGTACAATAAACAACTACACACTCACTGTAGTTGAGGTACAATCCCAGCCTGTTCTGCTGTCATAGGAGTCATTGGTGTCAGTGGTGGCATTGGACTTGGTGTGGGTGGATAGGTACTCAGACCCCCAGGTAAAGATGTTGTTGTTTGTAAACCTGATGACCCAGCCGACAAGAGACCTCCATGGGGCTGTGAAAGGAAGCTGGGATTAAATCTTCAACTCAAAACTAATCAGTACAAAGCCAAGTAAACAGGTCATGAGAGTAAGTAGCTGGAGAAGTATCTTAACAAAAAAACAATTTCTCTCAACCACAGGCCCAATAACTACATGTGGGTCATGATTAGGAAATACTTGCAGACAAAACTATGTAAATTGTGGCAACATGACAACAAGATTACAAAATTGACTTAAGGAGGGGATCCTCAAGTTCCTTTGTGTGGAGCAGTGCTGATAAATGTGCAAGACTCTCTTCTAAAAAATCACCATCAACCTAATCTTAAAGTGTGTGACCATAATAAAATGAAGGTGTGGGAGTTTGCTTGTTTTTTTTTTTTTTTTTTGCTTTGGGGTGTGTAAATATGGTCTTTATTCCACAAAAAACTAAAGTCAATTGAGACAATTAAACTAGACCCAAGGGGATTTAATTTATTTATATTGGCTTGATTTACTTAAAAATACTGCCCAGTTGGCAAAACAAAACATATTTTAGAAAAATGGCATTGAAGGTAAGGATGTTCTCTGTGACTCTCTCAGCCCATGACCAGAAAGAGGAAATCTGGACTGTACGAAGAACCAATCAGATTGCAGGAATCAATTCAGTGCCCTCTAAGAAAAATAAAAGTTACAGAACAGGCTGGATTATGTGCAAATTTTGATTGGCTTTTACTTATGATCTTTTGGAAGGCAAATGCATAAATGACATCCTCCTTTTACACTTCACATCTTGTGTGCCACACTTTACTTCTTACTACATATTGACATCAACTATGCTCTAATACAGAACACATGCTCGCATGATTTTCAAAGAAATTGAGGTTGAGTCCTGGTGTACCGGTTAACGAAAATGTGTCCTGGTGTGCCCGTTAACCAAAATATGTCTTGGCGTGCTGGTTATCGAAAATTGCGTGACATCGGCCGATCGCGGAATGATGGCGTGACAGCTAGTTAGTTTCATGAATAATAAATGCTTGAAGGGTTAATTGGGCCAGTCGGGTCATTTGGGCCAGCGGGGTCATTTGGGTCATTTAGGCCAGTTGGGTCATTTGGGCCAATTGGGTCATTTGGGCCGGTTGGGTCATTTGGGCCGGTTGGGTCATTTAGGCCAGTTGGCTCATTTGGGCCGCTTGGGTCATTTGGGCCGGTTGGGTCATTTGGGCCGGTTGGGTCATTT